TCACCCAGTTATTGCAGTTGAGTTAACAACACAAGATGAAGGATGGTCTTGGAGTTCAGACACTGGTCTGGGACTTGGGAGGTGGAGGTTTATTTCTTGGCTTTGCTACTGATTTCTTCTGTGACCTTCAGGAAGTCATTCAGTCGTTCTGTGCCTCAGTTTCCCCATCTGTAAAACCCGGGCAGCGATATTTTCTTCCCATTTACAGATGGTGTTGGGATAAATATATTAGTGTGCGCGGAGCACTAGGATATTATGGCAGTGGGGACCATATTGAATCCCAGAAGGACATATGTTCACCTCCCGCACTGTTTTGTGGAATCTGCACTTACGCTGGATGCAGCAAGAAAATCAACATTTGCAGCTAGCAGAGTTCCCTGCCGCAGGAGTATCATTCGGTCAAATAACAAGGCTACCTTATTATAAAAGTCTGGATAATTTTCTGTCCAATATTTGCAGCGATGTAGGTTAAGAGTTCGCAGATGTCAGTGTTTGAGAGAGCAAGCAGATTGCCACAAGAATACGACCAGGAGGGTTTAAAGTCACAGTATAAACTGTGTACACTAGATCTGGCCAAAAAATGATGGGAGAGGAACATGATAGAAATAAATCCCCATTTTTCCTCAAAAAAATTCAAAAAATCCAAAAATTGTGAAATTTGAAAAAATGTTGATTAGCTCTATAATTTGCTGAATAGTAGAACTGCTTGGAAAATTGTAATTCGTTTTTTGCAGAACATTTTTTAAAAGTTTGTTTTATCAAAATTCTCCACAAAAATTGTTCCTACTCCTCCCCCGACACCCTACCCTTTTTCCAGGGACAAAATTGAAAAGGGAGGAAGAGACTGGGGAGGGGGTAGAGACTGGAATTTTCCATTTTTGGGATTAAAAAAAATCAAACAAGAAAAATTTACAGCGAAGATTTTTTTTAACTTCATAATAAAACACGATTTTTTGTTGAAAAATGTTTTGGAAGGAAAAATCTCAGTTGGCTGCACTGCCGTATTGCCTTCACAAATCAGGCCCTTCTAAAATCATGAGATTGGCTAAAAGATCATGAAATATTTTTTTAAAGATGCATTTGGGGGTCATCTTTCTCTTCTGGTTTGTGAGCCTTTAGATCACACTCACATCGCATTTTCCAGCTTTTCTCTGCATCCACGAGGTCTAGAAGCTTCCTATGTTTCTTTTTAATCAATGAAAGCCAAAAATGCCACATGATCCTATGACTCCAGGTGCTGGGGCTCTACAAAGAATACCAGATAGTGTGAGAAAAGCATGACAGTTGTCAATGCTGTTCTTGAAGAATTTCCCCCACCCCACCAACAAAAAAATGTTAATTGAAAAAAAAATTCAACCAGCACTTCATTTTCTTAGGCATCATATAGAATGTGCAAGCTATAGAAGGGTAAGCTAGGCCTGGGGAGGTTCGCAAACCTGTATTTATAGATTTGTTTGTTTGTTTTTTGATACTCCCAGTTTCCACTGCCACCTCCTGCAATGACCCAGGGATTCCCCAGAATGGGAGCCGGAGCGCAGACAGCAAAGAAGCAGGTGACTCCGTCGTCTTCCAGTGCGATCCAGGATACACCCTGCAAGGGGAGGCCAAAATCAGCTGTGTGCAGATTGAGAACAGGTTTTTCTGGCAACCCGACCCTCCCTCTTGCATAGGTATGATCTGTGCAACATTTCTCTGATTGTACAGCAAGGGGTCTAGGTTCCCCTTGCTAGGGTGTGTTGGAACATGTTGCCAAAGGGGTCTGGTATATAAAGCCCAGCGCTCTCATGATCCCTGAGCATAGAAAGGAAGGAGAGTGAGATATTAGATAGGAGGCAGGAGATTGTCTGGGCAAGCCAATTATTTTTGGCTGGGGAAGGACCTTGGTTGGGTGACTTTTGTGCCAGGAGGTAACATATTCTGAATCACAAGAGAAAACTGTCTGACGTTCTCCATGGGTTCATAAAGTCATAAAAGAAGCTCATGAAATCTATTATTTTTTTCAATACGGCCAGAACATATAACAATTGTCATGCTATGCACATAAAAGCAATAAATGTTAAATTAGCTGGCTAATTAAATGTTAGCCAGATATTAGTCATCCTGTAACCTTTATTCTTGTTTATGCAATGTTACCCCAAGCAACTTAAATTAATTAACTCCATTTCTTAAAACAGATTTAAAGCCAGCTGGGAAACTTTTATGACATGCCCAGAATTTGTTTGCTGCAGGACAGCTTGATATTTGAAAGACTCTGTTAATAATCTCACATGGCATCATTTCTATCTGATGCTGACAGCCCTTTTAGTTGTTGTGGAGCTGTAACTAAAATCACAGTGTTGTGTATTTAGGTATCTAGCTAATCCCCCGTTGAGTTCTCATTCACATCGAAAGCTGAGATCTTAGTTCTTCTTTCCAGGGAGTGGAACTGAGGTGAGATGATCCGGGCTAAGGGAATTCTCATAGGGTGTCTTCAGTGAAGGTCATTTGACTTAGAAAGAGCCATTGTGGTGGGTTGCTTTTGGACAGAGCCCTGGCGATCCTTTTTTAGAAGATGCAAGATCTCCCAATAAGCTGGAGGGGGCGGGGGGAACAGCAGTGACAACGTTCTCTTTCAATGACAAAGGGCTTTTGGAATTTTTGGTGGTCAGATACTGTAAATGATTCTACAATAGCCTTACACTATGTTGCCTAATTACAGCTGGTTGAAAAGTGTTTGGAGTTTTTTTCCCCCCAGTGGAACATTTCCAGGTTTTGGTGAAAAATAAAATTACTTTGATTCTGAAATACCTCTGCGGTGCCTCCTGGGAATTGTGGTTCAGGCGTCTCATACTTCCATTCTTCTCTCTAAACTGGGCTCCCTGGTTGGATGCATCACGGTATCCCCTTTTGGTCTGAGGAGGCGCGGAGCATCTTGGGAGATTAAGTCTAATCCATAG